TTGTTCTTCTATCTTAGTAGTGTTCAGAGATTTATCTTTTAGCTCACTAGTTCTGGCTTTGAAAGAGTATTTTTGAAGTTGTGTACCCAGTAGACTTCAATGCTCATGTTTCTGTCCAAGCACATGCATAATTTCCGTAATGAAAGATTGATGAGAAACCACTCCTTAAGATCTCCTGCCTCCAGAGAAAATGACGTGAAGTGATGGAGTGGCTGGGGACTTGAGATCCAGAGAGGGAAAGGGACTCTGTGCTGAGGACCATGGGGGGGTGGGGGTGGGGAGGCAGGCTTGCCGGGTATACCCTTTGGGGGTGGTGGTGATGATGCATGGACAGGATAGTAACTATGGCAATGAAACAATGTATGATAGAATGAATGTAAAACTTATGTTCTCCCATGTAAACTATCACACAATTCACAATAAAACATTTATTAAAAAATAAATACATAAATAAAAATTAAAATAAATAATCGTATTTCTAGAAATAACAACAACTAAAAAAGATCTCCTGCCTCCAATGCACAGGTGATACGTGTTCTGATGACACACGAGCAAACAAAGAAAACCAGTAAGTGTCACCGTGACTCACTACCAATTGAAAATCTAGAAGTAACATGTGTAGTAGGAGCTCTGGTAGCATAGTGGTGACGAGTCTGGCTGCTAGTCTCAAGATCAGCAGTTCGAAACTACCAGTGGCTCAGTGGGAGAACCGTGATACTTTCTGCTCCTGTAAAGATTTACCACCTTGGAAACCCTATACAGGGTCACTATGAGTTGGAACTGACTCCACAGCATGTAACCACCACCACCATTATTGAGAGAAGGAACCCTGGTGGCACAGTGGTTCAGCGCTTGGCTGCTAACTGAAGGGTCAGTGGTTCCAACCCACCAGCTGTGGCCCAGTTCTACCCTGTAGTGGCACTGTGAGTCAAAATCAAGCTACAGCCTGGGTTGGTTTTGGTTTAGTATATAAGATGTTTCCTTTCCTTCTTTCTGTATTCCCATAAAGAAAATAGGAAGAAAAGCTGGTTAGTGTGTGACAATCTAGGGACACTTTCCAGTTGGCCCAGAATCTTTTCAAGATACCTGGTTTTGAATTTGTTCCACTGACCTGTCCACTGAGATTTCCTAACTAGGCCAGTTTTCTCCACCAGCATTTAATGACCTTTCCATCCCCTTATACTTGATAGCAACAGAATTAGCACAGTTCAGCCGGGAGGCCGACTGATGAGCAGGCAGTGGTTAAACAAGATTGGGACCTAAGGCATTATGAACGACCGTAGTGGTGTGTACAGTCAGACTTTTTAACGCATGAGAAGAACCAGAACGTAGCACTTTCTTTTCCGTTTGTCTGGCCAGCTGCATGCCCACAGGCAGAGGATGAAGTTTCTATCCTGTTGGCAGTTAGAACCTTCCTTTAGTAGTTCACCTACTAAAATCGTTGCTTCCTTTAGTATTCAAATCTCAACTTTTATTTCTAATCCTTTATTAAATACCTTAGTAAACCCTTTTTAAAAAAAAAAAAAAATTAAGTTGCCATTGACTCACGATGGGCGCACGTGTGTCAGAGCAGAACTGTGCTCCGGAGGGCTTTCAGTGTCTGAGTTTTCAGAAGTGGATTACTAGGTCTTTCTCCGCATGGACTGAAATCACCAACCTTTTGGTTAGCAATCAAGCACTAACCAGGGACTGCAATAAGTATTAGGCTCAAAAACCCACTGCCAGCAAGTCAGTTCTGACACATAGTGGCCCTGCATATGGTTTCCAAGGCTGTCAATCTCTATGAGAGCAGAAAGCCTCATCTCACTTCCCTAGAGCTGATGGTAGATTTCAACTGCTGACCTTATGGTTAGCAGTTCAGTGCTTATCATACAGCACTATCAGGGCTTCTTAATAAAAACTTGGGTTGTTGTTTGGTGCTGTTGAGTTGATTCCAACTCATAGTAACCGTATGCTCAACAAAACAAACACTGCCTGGTCCTACACCATCCTCACAATGTTGTTAAGCTTAAGCCCATTGCTGCTGCCACTGTGCTAGTCCATTTCCTTGATATAATAGCATAATATAATAGAGTACTTGAAGTCCTGATGTGATGCTGTAGGATAAGCATTGGACCGCAAACCCACCGGCTACTGTCAAAAACCCTCTGTGGGGTCATGTAGGTCAGGAATGACTCTAAGGCACTTGGTAACAGCAGCAGTCACCATTCACCACCCTCTACCTTAAAAACCCTTTGCTTGTTTTTCGCAATCCTCTCTCTGAGTCTACCATACCTCCTTTACCAAACTGAATTCTCGATGTGTGTAGGTCAAGGTAAATAGAGTATCAGCCTAAATGCAAAGTTGCCTTGTGTTGAGACAGGTGTATGACTATTGCTGTAACTGTAGGCACAGCTGTTTGTGTTTATGGCTTATGCCTTCCATAAATCTAAATTTTAGCAAGACCTTTGAATGCCAGTGTAACATTCAAACCAGTGTGGTCTGGTTTGTTTCAGTCACGTGACCCATGAAGTGCCAGCAGAGGATTTTTCTCCTCGGGAGCCAAGAACTGTTGTTGTGAAGCAAGATGACAGGGGCTTCAGTTCAGCCACACCAGCATGGTCCCCACATGAACTGGAAAAGGAAGAGGAGAAAGAAGATGTTTCAGATCCTATGGACTTAACCCCTTGTAGTGCAACATACAGCAATTTAGGTAAGTGCAAATGTCATAGAAGTCGTATTTCAACTCTGCCTTTTATATACTAGACAAATGCTGGCTTTACCTGGAGGGATGCTTTTATTGCTCCATGGAGCAAACGTTGGAATTACAAATTTTTATTTACATCAGAAAAAAAAAAAAAAAAAAGCCCTGGTATTTTAAACATGTATTGAGTCCCTGCTACTATGAGCCCTGTACCATGTGCTAAAGGTGCTGACAGGGGGTCCATGCCTGGAGGCTCACCTAGAGAGGAGGAGTTGAACTTGTTATGATTTCAATCTACTATACATTCAGTGATAGAGATACACACAGGATTTGTTGATTTTGCACAGGGGAAGCATCAAAAGAAGACCTGAGCTATTTTAGCTGATTGACAAAGGGAAGGAAGAACATTACAACTAGAGGCAATAATATGAGCAAATGCCTAGAGATACAAAACAACTTGGTACATGTTGGTACTATGACCATTTTGCATTACTGAAATGTGAGCCAGAGAGTTAGACAAGATCCTGAGTTTCAGGTTAAAACCAGAGATTTCCTGCTATTTGTAGTAGTGGACCATCCACAAATTTTAAGCAGAGGAATAGCATGATTCGATTGGTGTTTTAGAACATCTATTCTGTCAGCTGCCATGCAGGGATAGATTAGAAGTGAAATGTAGTCAGTAGCAGAGTATCTGGTAGATCCTACTGCAGGGTCCTATAGAGGAATGAGAAAGGGAGGAATAAACTCATACAGTGAGATAGGAGACAGATTTGAGAGCTATTTAAAGGTAAAATACATAGCACTTGGTGTTTAGTTGGCTATGGATAGTGTGAGGAATTCATTATGTATCCCAGATTTCTGACATGAGGCAAACCCACTCAAGGATGTAAGATCCCTATCATTGGAGGAGAAATGATAGGAAAACTGCTCTGTGTACTTTTAGGCATTTCAATCATTACAACCCACATGCAGTTGAAAATGCATTCTGTAAGGAAAAGACTTCTAAGTTTTAGAACCTTACATAAAGTGGGAACGGGGCAAAGCATAGTACAGTTTACTCAAACAACCCTCAGTATACCATTTCTCAACTGTAATGGAATTGATAGTTATCAAACCACTTGATTAGTCTTTTCACATTTTACGAGGCATATTAAAAGTTGAAAAAAAAATGCTATTTACTTACTATATGCCCTCAGACAGTGTAATAAATCAGGAATTATATTTCAGACATTCTTAGTACACCAAAATTTCTTTCATGATGTCCACAATAAAATACACAGGAATTTTTACTAATTCCATGGTATCTTAGGCAGGCTCTTCTTTAAAATGCTTCACTAGTCAAATCCAGTGAAAGTTAATGATCTTATTTGTTTTCTCAGTTACATGGACTGTTAGGGGAAAAGGAAAAAAAGCATTACCTCCATAAATATCCCAACTGCTTCATGTATAGTCACTCATATAATCTTCACAACTTTACAGATTATTATGCCCATTTTTCAGATGAAGAAAGTGAAGCAAAGTTCCTCGCCCAAAGTTAGAGAGTCAGCAAGTCTTACTGAACCAAGATCGGAAGGAACCCAGTTGGTTTTAACTCCCAGACTGTAATGATCTTTCCCACTAAATTCGTATAAAACACTGAAGGGCTGCAACTATGTCTCCTTTTTTTTTTAAGTCATCCGCTTTCAGACACAAACTTGAAGACTGATTCTTAGATTAGGAATAGAGTGCGAAGATACTAGGCTATAGACGCCCTAATCAAAAATGTCGCTTTCTTTCTGCCAATTGCTTAACTATTCACAAAGTATGTGATGCACCTAAAATGTTGACTACTTCTCCTTAGTGTTTAAGCACCTATGTATTTCACTCCATAAAGTATGGAGTTTTTTTGCTTCCTTGGAAAGACTTTACTCCCTGAGTTAAATTACTAGCTGTGTGAGTTACTAGCTGTGTGAGTTGTAGCTAAGACAGTCCACATTGGTTCTGCTAACTTTTGTTTAGTTTCTGCTGTTGATGTTTTTCCTAATGGAACATTTATTTTTGGTGGCATTTAGACTTATCTTTTAGAATACTGTCAACAAAGCACTTGCAAAACTGCAATGTTAAACCCACCCCTGTCATTTTTTCTGTGATTTAAAGCTCTGCTGGCTAGATATACACACACACACACACATATACATATGTACATACACACACCCAAGAGGGCTTCAAAAATTTTGTGAAAAATGGAATTAAAAGATAATGGAATTTTCCCATGAACCTTTTGGAGCTCCATTATGTGTGTGTTACGGATTGAGAGAGAACAAAGCCTTTAAACATTCCAAAACTATTCCATAAAGACTACTTTGTTTCTTCCTTTGGGGCAGATGATGGACAGACAGAAGGAAGTGAGAAAGGAAAGTTCGAGGCTACCATCTTTTACTGTGGAGTTTACTTTTGACATTTGTATTGTAAAGTGAACTTAGGAAGCAGTATTGTTAAGTTGTTGTTAAGTGCCATCGAATTGATTCCAATCCATAGCGACCCAGTATAGGGTTTCCAAGGAGCACCTGGTGAGTTTGAACCGCTGACTTTGTGGTTCAAAATGGCCTTGCAGTCCTGCACTTACCCTACTGCACCACACCAGGACTCCTGGAAGCAGTAGAACATAGGAAAAAATACTGGTTTTTTGGTCAGACAGATTTAGGATCAAATCACCGCTGTGCCTCTGTCCCGCTGTGTAACTGGACATCAGTTATCTAAGGCCCCTGAGCTTCAGTTTCCTTATCTGAAACGAGAAAATAAGAACATCTACCCACAGGACTGAAGGCAGAAGAGTTCGGTACATAGAGGTGGTGGTGGTTATGTGTCGTGAAGTCAGTTCTGACTCGTTGCCCCCCTAGATGTGGTTTCTGAAGCTATAAATTGTTACAGGAGCAAAAAGCCTCATCTTTCTCCCTCGGAGCAACTGGTAAATTTGAACTACTGACCTTGCAGTTAGCAACCTAGCTTGTAATCCACTATGCTACCAGGGATCCTTGGTACATAGAAGTACTTGTTGTTGTGGTTGTTGAGTGCCATCGAGTTGATTCTGACCCATAGTGACCCTGTATAGGGTTTCCAAGGAGCAGCTGGTGAGTTTGAACTGCTGACCTTGCAATTCAAACAGCTTTGCAGTCTGGCCCATTAACGCACAGCGCCACACCAGGACTCCAGTGTAGAAGTGCTTAGTAATTGTGAATTTCCTGTATTTCTCCCCAAAGATATGTTAAATGTGCCAGCCAAAAAATATAGAAAAAAGTGAAAAGGATTAAAAATGTTAATTAAATGGAAGAACCAAAACAGCAAAATATAAATCAAAATAACTGTGGGCTGCCTGCACAGTTAGTGACTGAGCGTGTGACATGTTAAACAGGATACAGGACCCTCCCTCTAAGGTTGCTATCGGGACCACAGCATAGATGACAAATAGCAACGGAACTGTGGCAGGTCCAGTTCCCCAAGGTCTGCTAATTACAGCAAAACAAAGGGACACGCTATACAGTTTTAAAAGCTAGTAAATTTTGTTTAAAAACTCAGTTGAAATAGACCTTGATTGCCCTGCTTCAGAGTCTCCAACTTGACCTCCCCACTTAAGGCAGAGCCTCAGTTCTCCCCTGTGTGGGGACAACAAGAGCTCTTGTGACTCAGCCATTCTCACAAAACGCTGCTGCTGACTTCTGCAACCCAGACCTTTTTATTCTTACCTTGAAGAAGGTAACCCACTTTAATTTGCATGCCTTTTTTTTTCTTGTCTTTCATATAAATAAAGCAAACTTGTTTTTGTCGTTAAGTGCCTTCGAGTCATTTCTTACTCATAGTGACCCTGTATAGGGCCTGGACTTTAAAGGTTTGTGGGAGGAGAAAGCCTCATCTTTTTTCTGCAGAGCACCTGGCGGGCTTCCAACTACAAACCTTCTGGCTCTCAGTCCAGTGCTTATCATTTGAAGCCACCACGCTCCCCATTTTATTTTAGAGCTGTGCAGTATTTCAAGTGCTCATGAGCTACATCTGGCTAGTGGCTCCTGTATTGGAAAGCACAAATAAAGAACATTTCCATCATCACAGAAAGTGCTACTTAACAGCCTTGCTTCAGAGAATGAATTATTCGGGGGGTATGTGTTGTCACACAAAACTTATATTGGTCTTTATGCAAATTGACAAGTCCTTAAGAAGGTTTCTCCTGACAGAGTGATGATTCTACTCTGGGTGGTGGTGACAATGAAAAAGCAAAACAAACTCTGATCCTCCCCAAACTGCCATCCAAAATGATCTGCCAAAGAACTGATAGAGCGTTTTCTTAATCAGACCTTTAACATTTCCCCCCATGTTTCTTGTGTCTGTCTCAAACTGTCCAGGAAAAATAAACGATCACTGGTGTTTTATTTGGCATGTCTGACTACTTTATCAGCCTCCTAAAATCAGGAGCATGTAATGGCTTCTACTCTGTTGGAAATAAGTCAATGACTTTAGTTCTCCTTGACTCCCTTTGTAACGGAGTGCCCTGTACATTGCTTTTTTGAAAGACGTAGCAAGTCTGCATTGACTCAAGGATAGATTTTTGTTTTGTTCTTCGGTGTCCCTATGTCCCTACCACCTAGCATATTATCTAAAATACAGTAGGTCATTGGCACCTGTTTCAGTGAATGAGCCAAAAATCCATTTTCAGTTTGGCTTTAAGAGATTCCCAGGTTAGGTCAATCAGGTTATCTTCAGGAAGGCTCAGAGGGAAATTTTAGTTACAGTTCATAAGCACTATTAATCAGGTGACTTTTAAAAAAATTATTATTTGGGGTCTAACCCAGGGGCTTATTTTGTCCTCAAAAGAACTGTGCACATTTCTCATCTTACTATTAGTTATCTCCTCCAGACAGAGGTTTCTCTCTAGAGCTTCCTTTGGCAGTATTTGGATTCTCCGTGTTAAAAGGGATAGACATGTTATTAGCCTGCTGACCTTGATGTTGCAATTATGAAATAATTTCTTTAGAAACTTT